TTCTCTTCAGTCATTCGCGTAGCGGAGGCGAGTCCTTCTTCTTTTGGTACTACGAAGTCTACGGCGAAGGTGCCGGGGTAGACGGAGTGGTCTGAGTCGAAGATTTGTCGCTTGTAGTAGATTTCTGGGCCGGGGTCTTTAACGGCTGTGTACATTGTCTGGAGGTGGCCGTTGAAGAGGAAGGGGTTTAGACGGCATGGTGGGATTGAGGATTCGGCGATCTCTTTGAGGTTTGTTTTCGAGCCAGTCTTGGTTTGGAGGGGTGTTGGCGAGGCATGGGAGGTGTAGGTTGTTTTGCTGTGACCTAGGAGCCAAGACATGATGGGTTTGGTGGGATTGGTATCTGGTTTGAATTCGAGAAGACGATGCGATTTTGTGTGAGTTCTGAAGACACCACGGATTGGAATCACACCTCAGCACTATTACACGCCTTCGGTCCTGTCCTTAGCTCTTTCACGATACCCCCACTCAGTCGATCAATTGCTGGTATGGTTGGTGTACTCGGTGAATTCAGTGTCTAGGATGACCCTCCATGTGAATTGATCTTGAGAAAGAGATGTTGAAAGTCTTATCTAGAACTGCATACGTACGTAAGGTTGAAAGAATTGGGCCTCGGTCTGGCTACGACTAGGCTGCATGTGTTGGTGTAGCAAGCGCGCGTCTGTGGGCCAATGGCGCTCAACGGCGCTGGCGCGTTCGCGATTGCCCAAGTTCGCGACTGCCCATTACACGTCCTCACGTCGACACCCCGCTTTCGCCCACGATGCACCGCCTGTACCTCGACTCTCGGTGACCGTCCGCCTCCTGACCATCCTCCGCCATGGATCCGCGATATAGCTGGCAGCCACCGGGCTATCCCAACGGCCAGTACAATCCGTATGCGCCGCCTCCGCAACAACCGCAACAACAGCAGCCAAATGTCTACCAGCAGCATGGCTACCCTCAGTACCCTCCGATGCAGATGCAGGCGCCGCAAGGATATCCTCAGTCACAGCCACAGCAGTACCAGCTGCCGCCACAGCCCAGCATGCCCCGACCCATGAGCCAGCAATATGCGCCAATGCCTCCCCAGATGCAGCCACCACAGCAGCAACCCCAGTATCAACGGCAGCCTCAAGTTGTCATTCCGCCGAGGACGCAGCAATATGCCCCCATGCCGCAGATGCAGCCCCCAAGGATCCGACATGTCCAGGTGCCGGTCCAGCGAACAGGCAGCACAGGCATCGCGCAAACAGACGGCTCGGGTGACCAACAGCGGCGGTATAGCGGACAACAGGCACCCAACACGCCAAATTCCAAGCCAGTGCAGCGGTCGCCGTCATTTCAAGAGAACGGGCCCAGGCCACAGCAGCGACCCGTCGTCACTCCTTCGCACAGTCAAGCCCAGTCTCGAGCGCCTCTACAGCCGCAGACGGCGCCTCAGCAACAGCGTGTACCTTCGCAGTCGACACCTCAGCAGCAGTACATGCCATCTCCATCCACCCTTCAACAGCAGCGACCTCCGCAATCGACACCCCAACAACAGCGCCCTGTACAGTCGACATCCCAGCAACAACGACCCTCACAATCACAGTCGACGCCCCAGCTGCAGCGTATGCCCTCACAACCCACGCTTCAAGAACAACGCCCTCCCTCGCAGTCTACTCCTCAACAACCGCGACCCCCACAGTCTACCCCTCAGCAACCTCGACCCTCTCAGTCCACTCCACAACACCAGCGCGTACCCCCACAGTCTCGGACGCCGTCGAGCCAGTATGGCAGTCCGTTCCCTCAGCCGCCTTCGTCGAAACCACGCATGCATCCCCAAGTCGTCATACCGAAAACGTCGTCTTTGCATCAGCTTACACCTACGAAGCGTGCCCATCCTCCTCAGAAGGCCCTTCCTGCCGAGCTCTCCGAATTGCTGCTCACGGCTGCGGACGAATACATCGCAATTGCTCGAGGCATGGGATCGCTGCTCATCAGGGAAAGGAGGGAGGCCGATGTCAGACAATACTACAAGTTAATGTCCACTGCCCTGGGGTGCATGGATACTGTGCTGAAGGACTTCAACATGCCGCCTAGGGACGAAGCCAAGCTGCGGTTGAGGTACGCCAGCTTGATGATTGAAGAGACGGACATCGAGGCCGCGGACATCTCCAGTCGGATCGAGGAGATTCTGTCTAAACAGATATCGCTCTGTGGACGCCATCGCCTGCAAGACCTGAAGTTTGCTGCCCTCCATCTCCAAGCACGATATCAGTTCAAGACCAATCACCGCGCCGGCCTCAAGTCACTCGACCAGCCTATAAAGGAGGCCGAGACCTTTCAACACATTGCCTGGGTGTATGCGCTGCGGTTTCTCAAAGTCACGCTCGCACTGCAGATACCGGGTCGTGTCGAGGTGGCATTGGCTCTCCAGCAACTCCATGCTATACAAGATCACGCGGACCGGCGGGGCGATCGAGCCATTTACGTGGCTTGTCACGTACTCGAAGCCATGGTCCATCTACGCTCGGGTGCAAGCGATCGACTCGAACAAGCCCAACGCGCCATCGCAGCAGCCAGAAGCCTGCAGCTTCAAGTGTCAGCGAAGCAGCTAGGATCGTTTGGCACTCTCATCGATATTATTGACATCGCTAGCGGTATCCAAAAAGGCAGCCCCAACCCACAGAAGTCTACCGCGCTTCTGGAATCCATACTAGGCGACAAAAACGAACAGGGCGGCTCCCAAAGCGGCGTCTTCACTGTTCTCATTGAGCGGAGTTTTGGAGGTCATCTCACGTTCGACACTGCTGGCATCTTCCGAAAGAACGCGGAGCAAAAGGACGAATTGGTATTTGCATGGCTTCCGAAGGAGGATCTTCAAGCGTTGTGCTTCCACATCTGTGCTCTGGACCAACATGTTCATGAGAAGGGCCTGAATTTCATGAAAGAAGCACATCAGCGCTTCCGAGGGACTGCGAAGCGACGCGTTTACAACGGCGTACCTATATCCATCGCGTTTTCACGCATTGAGTGGAACATGGTACTGGATTGGTATTCCATGTTCGCCATCGGCCTCATGGCGCGGACTAGGAACGATTGCGCAACCGCCGACGATGCGCTAGGTTTCCTCAAGAAGAAAATCTCGACGACCCCATACAACAACCAGGAAGCATTTGCTCGTACGCTCGCCTACTTCTCCGCCATCACCGACCAGATTAACGGATCCCACAACTCCACACTAGCAGCATTGTCCTCGGACGTCCTCGCAATACCAGAGAAGGGTCACACAACCCCCGCCAAAACAGACATTGCAATAATGGCAGCCCTGAATCGTCTTCTCATTCTTCGCGATGCTTCACATCCCCAACACTTCCAAGCAGCCCTCCTTCTAGCTCAAATCAAACCCCTCTGTGACGACCACCCGAACCAATACATCCGCATGGCCTTCCGCCTAGTACAAGCCTACCACAGCGAAGACGCGCCCATCCTCCAACAGAAAAAGACTGTCCAGTCCGCCGTCGGCATGGCCCAAGAGATCTCAAAGCGAACGCAGAACTTCGAGTTCGTCGCCATGATGATGTGTTACTTTGTTGCGCGCTTCTTCGCTGAGACCGTCGGCGAGAAGAGTATCCAGGCTATTCGTGCGGCGAGGTCGCAGGCGGTTAAAGTTCATAGACCGCTGTGGGCGGCTGTCGTCGCGGGTTTGTGTATTAACACGTATAGACGGAATGGGCTCATGGTGGAGGCGGAGATGGCGGCGAGGGAGTTTGAGAAGGTGAGGGGCCAGTTGCCGCTTGCGTTGAAGGGTGCGGATGATGTGGATGCGGATGGTGATGTTGATGCTGAGGGTGAGGAGGATATCGATGCTGATGGCGATATCGATGTTGTGGGGTAGTTAGGTGGAGGGATGTGGTTGTGCAGGCTTCTTTCCTTCACATTTCTTTTTCGAAGCATTGTCTTTTGCATTTGTTGGCGCAATATGGCCGGGGCTTCATCATGTACTGTAAGGGTTCGAGATACCATGTGCAGTCTATGCGCGACGATGATGCGCGGCGTTCAATGCATTCGTGTCACCCTCGAGATAAAGAAAAATGGACACTGTTTGATGTTCCGCCATTGCTACCTTGCGCCTTCCCATCTCTTCTGACACTGCCGACGGCCACCCGATGATGCGTCACTTCCAAGTTCCGCCCGGACAAGTCTTCGCCGCACTTACCTCATACTTGAGCCTTCCTCCTTCCGTCACTCACCAAATGTACGCCCACTCAGCTGCAGTTCTAGTCATCTCACCGCACTTGTGCCATCGACTAGTTCCACTCATCCCAACTGGGTTCTGCCCATCAACCAGTTCAAGTCCACAAGACGACCCTTGACAAGTTGCGGCAACAGATTGACAAGCAGTGCTTCGAGTATGCTACGCTACAGCAGCAACTTGACGATACCACATTCACACGGGACAAGTTGCAGCTGCAAGTCAACTAGCCGTGTCTCAAGTGCGCTATGCTAAGCAAACAAGTTGAGGATGCTACATCAGCACGAAAAGAAGTGGAAGAGCAAGTCAAGTGATTTAACTCCCGCTCGAGAGAATAAAAACTCTGACCTTACGAAGTGCTGTCCAGACATATACTGACTTTGTATTTTTATCCTTGCAGTATCAAGAGCACAGGGTTACCTCCGAGCAAGACGAGTTGCAGCGCCAAATTGACAGCTTCACAATACAAATTAACAAGGTCACTTCCAAGCGAAACGAGTTGCAAAAAGCCAACGAGAGTGTGCGATCTGCGCTGCTCGAGACTGATCAAGTGCTCAAGCCACTACAGATTGCGATCGGAAAAACCAGATGCTATGTCGAGACGCGCGCGCGATCACCGCGACTTCGCAATCCACGCTAAGACGCTTCTGTTTACAAAAAACAGGACGCGCTCTCACCTCTTCTCCTCGACTCAAACAAGGCTTCTTGTTCCGATCCAATCTTACCTTCCTACATCCACGTACCACTGTCGTCGCCTTCAATACCTGACCTCGACCAAACGATGGCGCAGTCTGTTCATTCTGCAGTCACCACCTACAAGCAAAAGAGGTTCGACACTGCGGCGCTCGAAGCGATGAAAGCATACGACGCGCGAGTCCAGATTGTGCCCGTGGAGGCGAAGCTCAACGGCACCGACAAGGCAATCATTGCTAAGAATCCTCGTCAATTCAACGTAAGTTCAGCCCCACTGCCTCACAGTGAACGTATCACTAAAACATCTCTAGTTCAGCCTCTGGAGCGGACTACCGAACGCTTGGATCGAAGAGTGCTTTGGAGAAGATCTCGGCAAACGACTTGTTAAGATCAAGTTGATCAAAGTGGAGCTCCATCCAGTGGAGCAGCCTCCAGTCCCCCTGCCGCCCTACTTGGATGTTCAGATAGCGGAAGCAGCTGGCTTCCATCGAGCCATGAACATCTGGAGCAATCTGCCTCGCCAGGGTATATTCTTCAGCGACGCCCAGAGCGACCTGCGCCGTCAGGCCGCCAAGCTAGCCGACTTACTCGCGCCTTACAACATAGAGGATCCCAGTTCCCTGCCTGGCAAGTTCAGCGGTTTCCAGAGTGGGCTCAGGTGTCCGAACCGGCTTAGCCTTCAAACAGCTGGACCAAGGGATCTTGTACCGCAAATCAGTTACTACGATGAGTTCTTGAACATCTTGAACAGGAGCTAATTGGTTTCGTCTTATTCCTCTATTAGTTAGAGAGGTGAATACTTCGTTACGCCGGAAGAGGTGTATAACTCTTGCGAAAACCGAGTAGCTATTTGATCAAACATGTCACTGTTAGGAGGTCACAAAGACGTCGTTTTCTGCGTGAACAGTGGATAAGATGGTGTATGCATTATAATACCTTTAAGCCCTTACAGCCCCATATGTGTAAACCCAGAAACGATGCTAAGACGCGCGCCCGGTCACCGTGACTTTCCAATTGAGACTCACCGTGAGTCCGATATCCACGCTAAGACGCGCCTGCCTGCTAAGCAATCTGTCGCGCTCTCACCTCTGCTCCTCAACCCACACACAACATCAAATTCCAACTCTACCTTCCAACATCCACGCACCAGTTCAGTCGCCCTCTATGTCTGATCCCCATCAAATCGACCTACCTCTCAGTCCCCGTCAGGTTGCACACATGCAACGCAGGTTCGACGTCGCTGCGCGTGAAGCCATCGTTGAGTACAACGTGCGACCTGAAGCTGTGCCCGAGCAAGCCGGGCTCAGTGTCGAGCGCAGGACGATCGCCTCCAAGAGCCCTGATCAATTCGATGTAAGTTCTCTCACCCTACCTCGTCGTAGTGATGGCGACTGACACAGCGTTAGTACAACCTCTGGAACGGACTGCCGCGTACCTGGCTCAACAACTACTTCGGCATCGAGCTTGCATCAGAACTACTTAAGATGAAGGTGATCAAGGAAGCGGACGAGGGCCCAGCGCAGCAGCTGGCAGTTCCTCCACTTACCGACTTCGATCTCCAGCTAGCCGAAGCAGCGGGTTTCCACCGAGCCATAAACGTCTGGACCAGGTCTGAGATCCCGCACTTGCACAAGGAGACGCAGGAAGAAATCCACTTCCAGGCTGCCAACCTAGCTAAGTTACTCGCTCCCTGGCTTAGAGAAGACACCAGTTCCTGGCCGGGCAAGTTCAAGAACTTCGATGCGAAGGGCTCCCTGTACAGTCTCAACAGACCTACGGACGGTTAGCCAACTGGTTTGGTCACAGGTGCAGTCGTTCAGTGTCAACCTCCACGCGAAAACGCTTGGCTGGTTCGCAGTGCTTACCGTGTCCTCGACTATGAAGAGAGTGGGAATCTGCAACACCACGATGTGAACGTCCAACGAAACTTCAGGAGTTGTAGCTGATTCTCAAGCAAAATCTTCCAATATCCCATGCCTTTGTTTTGTCTGTGAAGTAGTCGCGAAGCGTGTTCTGATAGTCGAAAATCGCCTTGATAACATGACGTAGGATGTGTGAGAGCAACGAGTAAAAGAGATACCATTCCTATTACGCCATGAATACATACTCGGGTATCACAAACACCAAACCAAAGCCCCCAAAACGCCTCTCAAGTTGACCAACCAGCCACCAAAGACAAGTCTGACGACAGCATGCCATCTGCCGCAGTCCCATCGTCCACAGTCAGCTCATCCACCCGCAAGCGCCTCGCCCACGCCCTCAAACCCTCAACACTCAACCCTTGTACTTCCTCAACACATCCTCGCTAACCCTCTTCACGCTCTTTGCAGATAGTCCCCGCTCGCCGCGTTGTTTGCTCTTAATGCTCGCTTCGTTGATGAGTCTGCGGGTATTGTCAGCCCAAGTCCTCTTCCTGTATCTCCTGCTTCATATGCGTCCATCACCTGCACGAAAGCGTTCCCTAGCTATGTGCCTGTTGAAAATATCCGACCTTCGTCGCACCGTGTCGTAATGTGATGGGAATCGAAGGAAGCGCATCGCATCGCATCGTATCGTGGAGTGTATGACAATCTAGGTACGTACTCTTGCATAAACAGCACATAGTTCAAATATATCTACGTCGCACGTCAGTCTCCCATCTCCACTCCTACTCATCGCATCAACGTACCAGTATATCAACATTCTTGCTCAATGGCCTGTTGGAATGCGCCTTGACGATCTTCTTGACGGTGCCGCGGGGGTAGAGCGTGGGTGCCATGGCGTGCTTTCGGTGTTTGCGAAAACGATGAGATGGCTCGGGGAGTAATGTATAGGAAGGTTTGGGAGTGGGTGCGATGTGCGGGGTCTCGTTGGGTGGAGCGGGGGATGGATGCGTGGTTAGACGTGTCTGTTGACGTCGATGCCTGTGAGTGGGTCTGTGCGTTTGACGCGCTGGCACGTGGGACGCTTGATACTGAACGCCACACTCATGACCGTCGAGGCTCTTCATTGATTGAAAACCTGATAACTATCTCATAGCAAGAATTCACATTTTCGGATCAATTACAATGAGTCTGAACAAAAGAATTCTCATACGAGATGCATCTATCAGGGACTATCACAAGATAATGTTACACAAACGAGATTCCACATCTACTGCGCTACATAATCACTGCATTTACACCTTCAGGCCGAGATCCGCAGCGTAGGGGAGTACAAAAAGGTCACCGACGGATGATACTGAGGCATTGCTCTCAAGTAGTTCCTTAGCAGCCTGACGTAGATGTTAGCACATAGCACGTGGGCAATGATGGTGTAAAGACTCACCTTCTTGACGGACTCTTCTGTTACGCCGTCAATCTTCTGGGCAACCTCGTCGATCTGGTACGGTTGGGTGTTGTGGATCAGACCGTTACCAGTAAGCTCGAGACCAGCGCGGATGTCCTGGCCGTGCTCGAGCTCCTTGAACTTGGCGGCGGCCTTTGCCTTGGAGACCTCTTCGCTTGAGATCTCGCCGGAAGCAATCTTCTTGATGGCATCAACAGCGGCCTGGGCGGTTTGGGCAACAGCCTTGGCGGATCCGGTGATGGTGGTGTAGAGGAGACCGGCGTCGGAGTAGATGGCGCTGGTGGTCTTGACCTTGGCACCCTGAGCGGCGGCCTGGCCGAGCTTGGTGAAGCCTTGCGACCACTTGACGGCAGACTCGCCTCCGAGCAGAGAGCTGAGGACGGCAATCTCGGGCTTGTAGAACTTGCCGGTGAAGGAGCTGGAGCCGGGGAAAGCAATGACCATGGCGTTGCCGCTGTCGTGGGCGATGCGCTCCTCACCACCGTAGTACTTGGACTGGTCGGCACCGGTGTTGGACTCCTGGAGAGGGGCGCTGGGGACGTTCTCGAAGAACTCGCCAACCCACTTGGAGAACTCGCCGTGGTCGGCACCGTTGGCTACGACGGCGAAGTTGGGCTTCGCGTAGGCGATCTTGGAGTACCACTCAATGGTCTCGGCGTCGAGGTACTTGGTGTAGGGCGTGGGTGCAGCGGAGGCGGTGGGGACGCCGAGGCCGCGGTGGAAGGCGAGGCTGTGGGCGGACTGGGTGGCCATGTCGGTGACGCTGGCGAGGAACTTCTTGTGGGCGAAGTGGATCATGGGGAGCACCTCCTCGGCGTAGACGTGGGCTGCAGTGTGTCAATTCCTCATCCGTCTCAATCATCGGTGGAGCCTACGCTGGTACTTGGTGGAGCTGGCGACCTCGCCGAGCAGCTCGACGAAGTAGGGCAGGTCATCGCGGAGGAACTTGGCCTCGAGCACCAGGTTCTCGCGCGAGTGGTGGGCGTTGAGGCTGGCGCCCAGGAGCTCGGATTCGCGGACAATGCGCAGCGTCGACCGTCTTTCGGTGCCCTAGAGGTCCGGAGCGTCAGTCTCGCTCTCCATAGCATCGGCAGTCTCAATTCAGCGTACCCGGAAAGCGAAGTTGGCAAGGCCCTCGGTCAGGCCGGGCAGCGGCTGGAAGCGCGTGCCGGCCTTTGCGACCAGGGCCAGCGTCGTCGTGGGGCCGGCAAAGTCTCTGCTGGCGTACTTGACGCCCTTGGCCTCGCCAGATTGGTAGTTGAAGGAGCCTGAAGCTGGGGCAGCCAGGCCGCGGCGCTGGCAGCGGGCGACGGGCTGCTGGCGGGCTGCACGCTGCGCGCCCCGGCAGGCGGTCGTTCGGGAGAGCATCGTGGTGTAGGCGCCGGGCGGAGGGCTGGGTGGTGTGCGGGGGACGGCAATGGATGGAATGCGTCTGGTGGTGCGGATGTCGAGATGCCCGTCACAAAGTTCGTAGGCCGCCAAGCCCCGTAATGCCATCGACCGCCGCTCCATTGGTCGGAGCTCGACTGGGCCTGGGACCCCACCCGATATCATTTTCTAGTCGCTAAGACTGTCGCTGCTCAACCCTCGCTCTCTCTTTATACCAGCTTTGTTCTCCCTGTGCGTCGCCAATGTCTCCCCGGTAGCATTACCCCACCCTAGATATCTGGCAAATATCTAGGCTCCATCATGTCTTACAACCAGCGAGAGACTCCGGTAAGACGCGCCGCCGATGCGCCTCGCCCATGTCACATGAATCATAACCAACCACTCTGCAGGTCCTTGCTGAACTCTGCACCTCCCTGGTGAACGATGTCTACGGCGAACTCGCGGCAGTATGTCTTGTCGAACCAAGTCCCTGCGCATCGTCGCGCTCGGGCGCAGTCCTCTTCTGCATCCAGGCATGCGACGGGCGCATTCAAGAACACTCTTCTAACTCCTCATAGCGGGTCTTTTCGATCCTCGCGCGCCACGGACGCCAGAGTCTCGCATCCATCGCACGCGTCTCCTACCTGAATCCGCGCCAGATCAAGTACGGCCTCGTCATTCTCCTCCAGCAGCACCTCATCTTCCACTCCGGCAACGATGCGCCCTTGACCTACTACGAGATCGACTGGCAAAACTCGTACGCAATCGTCCGCTTCGGCAAGATCGTCAAGCTCGTCCAAGACCGCGACGGCAAAAAGGCCGCCAACATCATGTCCAACCTGCTCGCGCTCGGCCACACACGCATCGCCGACTTGAAAGAAGCCTACTTCCCGACTGAAACTGGAAGCGACTATGACTCAGACGACGGCGCGGTCAACGGAGCCGGCTCAAAGCGGAAACGGACCAACGGCACTCACGTCAACGGAACAGCGAAGACGAATGGCGTTACGAACGGCACACCCTCTGAGTTGGACGACGCGAAACCAGACCCCACCGAACTCACCAACGGCCACGGCAAGACCAACGGCGTGCAAAAGCCCTCCAAGGTGGACAGCGTGACCCACAACAGCGCTCCAGAAGAGCCCGGACAAGAACAGGATGACAGCGACATCGGCTCCTTCGAGGAGTTGTACGAAATCATTCAGCGGCTGATGGAGCGCGGCTGGATCAGGACAGTCACCGAAACACAGTACCTCTCCCCCGGCGATATGCACGACATGCTCTACCAGGAGTCCATCGAGCAAGACAACAATGGCGTCACACCCACGGGCACCAAAGACAAGGACATTGTCCACAGAGGGACCTTGCAGCGTAAACGGGCAATGCGCGACGAATGGCTGACGGTCCCAAAGTTTGCCCGAAACGGACAGACGAATGGTTCCAACAAGCGTGTGAAGATCAACGGTGCGAACGGCACAAACGGATGGGCGGCACCATCATCGGACGACGACCTCGTTATTCGCGTTAACCCGGAGAAGATCGCGGTCGCCATGCGGACGGAGCAGCTGGTGAGTCTGGTACAACAACGTCTTGGTTCTATCACTGCGCGCGTTTACCAGACCATGTTGCGCATGCTCGAGTCCAAGACACCCCGCTGTTGGGAAGAGTGGCCTGACCCACCGCTACCTGCCGGCGAAGCTGGAGAGAACTCCATCGACCCCCGCTTCCTCGTAACCGCGCGCGACGTCGCCACAAAGCTCAGCCGTGAGCGCGATCTGGACATCTTCGAAGGCCTCGATCCGAACGCAGCGGCGCAAATGACTCGCAAAGGGCACATCAATCGAGCCACTATCTGGACACAGCCAGTTGACCCCGCAACCCTCAATATGGAAGACAGGACCAAGGTCGTGGACAAGCACATACAGATGCTGGCTGAAGACCCTTTCCACTTTGTCACCTGGCACTCTCGCGCCGGATTCTCGCAATGGCATATTGAGTTCGACGAGATCGCGCGGCAGATGATACAGACCGAGATCGAGAACACCATCTCTGCAAGGAAGGGATCCTTGGGCGTGAAACTGGTTCGCGCGTT